GACCCCCCGAAACGGGGCACGAACCCGCGTCCCCTGCATCGGCAGGCGGACCCTCAAGCACTGCGCCACCAGGGAAGCCCTTCCCATTGTATTTTAAATTCTATTACGGACTCAACTTAATCCCATAACAATTTGGGGTAAATTGTGGCAGTGGAAACCCAGAAACAATTCAGGAGCTGTTCAAGTTCATGGTTTGATGTGCCGAGAACCTAAGTATTTTGCTGTGCTTTACTGAGCTGTACCAAAATACTATGGTTTAGGCTTATGTGCCAGACTGTGTTGCAGTAGGTCAGGGAGAAGAATGGGCAAGAAACATGCCAAGTTGATACCCTGAATCAAAAATATCCTCCAAGGAAGTAAGATGGAGGGGCAGAGTGCAATCTGACTGTTGCCATCCCTGTTAATTCCCTTTAAGAATGGATTCAAGTTCTTATGCAATCTATTTCAAATAAAAGCATAAGCTATGTGACTTGAGTTAATGAACTTCTTTTCATGATGTAGGGGAAGTTGAATGTATATATTTATGAGAAGAAATTGGTTAGCGGATTTTAGGTTTGAGGGAATAGAATGCCCACAGAAAGTAGGCAAAAAAAAAAAAAAAGCTTTTTAGTCTAAAACTCATTACTGATGATAAACATTTAAATATTTATAACTCTTAGAAAGGGGCATTACTAAGACTACTTTAACTTGTTTGTGATGAAACATTTGTTGCGTGAAATACAGTGAACCAGTTCCAATCTCTTTATTCAGTAAAAAATGACACTTATTTCTAGAATAGTAATTTGACTTTAACTCTGTAACTATTAACTTTGAGAATATGTATGCCCAGGGTAGGTATGACAGGAAAGTATATGTGGGATGTGGCCCAATGAATTTAAGCCCCAGTACAGCTAAATGCACTTATAATTTCACGAAATCTAGTTTAGATAGCATTGTGAATGCAATTTCCAAATATCCATTTGTACTTAGAGTAAATATAATGTTTAGGAGATGTTTTGTGGTCCGGATTTATATATTTATAAGGTTTTTTAAAAATGTTCATTTTGCCTGAAATGTAACATCAAATAAATTGGTGACTTATCATAGGATGAGGTTTCTAGAAAGCTCTGGATATGGGTACTATGCATTTTGCTTCTTTGTATAATGTCTGCAGTGCTAAATTTGTGTCTTTGTATTGTGATAGCCTTTTTTTTTTTTTTTTTAGTTGCCAGTAAGTTAATTCGGTGTTAAAGAGTTTTAAATGTATGACAACAAAAAACTCTTCCTGCTGTTGAATGAAAAAAGGACAGTGCTTCAGTCTTATTTATTGTGGTGATGTTTTGTTTGTCCATTAAATTGTTATTATTTCCAAGCTAGAAGTTTGATTTCTCTGACTGATGGTTGAAATTCAATTTTATTTTGGACTTCTTTTAACATTAGATAACTGCAAACATGAGCTTTCAAAAACATTGATTAAGCTAATCCCTTTGTCATATGAAGGAAGATTCCAGAAGTTTCTGACAAAGCTGATTTGCTCCATCCTACTTCTAAAAGGCCTTCATACCTTTTTTTTTAAAGAAAAAAAGGAAAAAATAGGAAAGATGAAATAAAAACATTGTCTTTATAATAAAAATTTTTGCTTTTAATTTGTTTGATTTGTTTTCCAGATTTTGCCTAGCTACTCAGCAAAATAGAATCCATTTTAGTTAGGAATTCACTAATCTTGTGTGATCTGGGCAAGTTTAAAAAAATTACCTGATAATTAAATATGACCGGTGTTAGGCAAAGTAGAAATAATTTGGGACTATGTAGCAGTTTTATGCTTATGATAATTAGTGAATTGGCACCATATGTTAATTGAGAGTAATGGTTTCATTCACTTCTGAAATCTATGTAAATGAGGAAAGACCTGTTAAGGAAAACAGTTACCTGTGCTAGTCATAACCTAAGGTGTGAACTCATGCTTATCTGCTGAGAGACCCTCAAGTGATGTGCATTTGCCTGATTGTAAAGAGATACTAGGCTTCCAAGACACCCTGAGTTTGAAGAAATTTCTTAATCCGCCAACCAGGTAGACGTGGAAACCAAAGCAATCCTGTATTGATAGGCAAACTGACAGTCATTATAAATATGAGCCCTGTGAGTCCTGGGATGTAGAAGAGATGGAAATTAGTTTACTTGAAAGAGTATATTGGAGGCAAATTACGATTCTACGTTTCTGCATTTTGGGGGAATTGTTCTCTTTTCACTCTTCTTGGTAATAATAAATACTTGCCCTAATTCTTTTGAAACACTGCAGAAGCACCACAAATTATTCCAGAACCTTCCTCAAAACCAATGAGCAGTTTGGTTAAAAGTAAGATCCCTGAAAAAGTTTAACCGTTTGCTCTTGAACTTGAGTCTTGTATGTTTTCCACCTCTTTACCCCTGTGTTAGATGTGTACTTCTCTTTGCCTCAAATCTTTTATGAATTTTACTCCTCTGTGAGATGCTAGAATATTGGGTCTTCCCTTCAAATATAGGTTTGTGTGAAAGAGAAGAAAGAGAATAAGAATAGTAGTAGTAATAATAATAATAATAATAATGCAGGTAACTAAATGTTAAAATTTGAGTAAATTCCAAGTGAGTCCTGGAGACAATACAGATTCAGCTCGATTGCTTATAGCATTTAAATCTGTGTTATAATCCAAATCTAAGTATACTCGGTGTACAGATAATCTCTATGGTTCTGACGTGAAGGTGCTTTAATAGAAATTTTTAAAAAATTTATGTCCTGAATATATTGTATACTAAGTAGGAATAGGTGCTAATATATCTGTAAAAGTGGTTGAACCTTGATTTAATTAAATATTCAATTACATGGAACAATTACTCTATATAAGCATTTTAATTAATCAGAAGTTTATAGATTTGCAACATATTAACATTTTCCCTTTAAATTTCATAAGAGAAAAGAATATGCTGTTAGTAAGTCATTTTAGACCTTGGTTTGCCCGTGAAGTGTGATGGTTTAGGCACGAAAGTTTCTTTCAATGTTCAGATTCATTTGCCCCAGATCAGTCTTCATTTGCCCCTGAAGACTTACATTTGGGAGTCTTTGGCATTTAATAGCAACTGAAGCTAAGGGAATAGAGAAACGGAGAGAGGGAGCAGAGGGCCAAGGCTGAGCTCTGAAGCTGTAACTTTGAAGGATCAGCAGAGGATCCAGCAAAGGGACTGCCTAGGAGCAGCCAGAGTGAGGGAGGTGGGAGAGGCATGGAAATTGGGGCACGTGTGGTCACCGGAGCCGAGAGACAGAAGGTAGAATTAGGATTACTAGGTGAACACAGATTCGTATGTTAAAAGATTTTTCAAGCTTTTTTCATGAAGTTTTAAAATTATACAGAAAAGTTGAGAGAATCCTATAGTGATCACTAGTACACTAACCACTTAGAGTTATCAGCAGTCAACCTTTTGTTATATCTGTTTTTTCTCTCTCTCCCCTAAGCATAAGGGACTTACTCTAACTAAAATATCATTACTATATCTAAGACCATTCAGAAATACTTTTGTGATATTATTTAATATGCAGTCTATACAGATTTTTCTATTTGTTCCCCAAATATCTTTTAGAGTTTAAAACACAAAGCACAAACCAGGATCTAGTTAAGCTTCTCACGTTGCATTTGGTTGTTGTGTATTTTATTCTCTTTTATTCTGGAACAGTCACCCCACCTTGTTTTCCCTGTGACATTGACTTGAAGCAGGTCAGTTACTTTGGACAATGTCCCACATTCTGGATTTGTCTGACTTTCAGGCAAATGGTGGTGTTGAATGTTATTCTATCACTTGTATTTCCTGTAAACTGAAAATTAGGTTTAGAAGTGTGGTTGGATTCAGATTTGGGGCAAGAGGTTGTCTTAGATGATGCCATGCATTTGGAACTGCATCACATGAGACATGAATGGAACGTTGCCCCACCATTAGAAATACTGACCCATCACTCAGTTAAGAGGGTGACCTCCAAGTCTCACCATTTCCCC